TCCTTATGTAATTTAATAATCATATAGAGACTATATTAGAATGTATAGACAGCTAATCGCGATGCAATGTCACAAAATTTGGCTCAGTTTAACCGAAAGAGAGTAGGTCGTTCTTTTTAGGACAGGTAATATCCGGTCAGGTAAAACCTATCACGGTGACCGACTTAGAACTCTGATTAGTGTTATAAGAACAATATCATAGAATGATAGTTATTAGAAGTTTTGTTGGCTCATGCCATCGTCTTTTCATAAATTGTTGATTTGGAAGCCATTTTCTAAATTATTATCGAAAAATAAACGTTTTACTTCGATAAAATTGATAAAATAATCAAAAGTCCTTGAAACATTCGAAAAATTTCTGAATAGATCGCTTTATTCTCTTGTTATCATTTCATAGGACCCTAAACTTATCGTATATCTGCTCACTATGTACGTCATTTTACACGTTACTTACATATGTATTCATTACACTGACAATTAATAGCAAGTAATGACAAGAAAAGAAAGGAAATTATTTTTCGCTCAAGGACTCTCTTATCGCTAAGTTTTTCCTGTTACAAATACGTCTTGAAAAAGTACGTTATGATATATATAGCACACAGATAGAAGAAAAGAATGTGCGATCGTTAGAAAATAATATTGTATTATATTAAATTCTTAATGCATCATGAAAGGCAATTATTCAAGTTACACAGATGTCGCAGGAATAATCAATGGTCGTATTTTAACAGCTTGTCATAATATTTGTGCAAATTAATCGATTAATCTTGTTTTCCCAGATTATAAATGGACTCTGAGGTCAACCCACAAGATATATGCTTATTACGTCAGTTTATTCATCATACAATTAATTTCCATAACAATTAAAATCACCAATAACAATAGATAAATAGTAATGACGAAGGAAGGAACTGACTAATTAAATAGTAGTATTTCATTCATTTCGCTTCGAAATTCTGTGAAACTCATGGACTCAGATAATTTTAATCTTCACGAATTAATCCTGTGACAAATCCAGAGAAACCTGAGAAATGAAGAGATCGAGACGAATCCGCCTGACTCCGATAGGCAAAAGATACTTCATATTCGTAGAATTCGGATACTCGGATTCGCGAGGAATTTCGAGGATTCAAGAGTGAGAGACAACGGTTTTACGGCTGCTTGGCAACGAGGCCAGGCCAGGCACCTAGCCAGACAAGACAGCCAGCGGCAACCGGAGGCGCCTATCACGGGTCCGACGATCCGTTGAGGTCAGAGCCCCTCTCACAAAGAAGGGCTCCTCCCTTGGCGCCCTCGAACATTTATATAGGGTGTTCTATTCCTGCTGATACCTTGCTGTCGAGCGTCATGTGATTTGCACAAGAGAACAATTGTTTATCACATTATTCCAAATTTATCTTGAGACTTTCGTTATTCTTATTTCTGTCCCAACAGGAACAGAAACGCATTAAAAGAAGAAAACCAGAACATTATGACAAATCGAGATAAGAAAAATAAATCAAGATAATACATATTTTCTTTCGTCCTTTTAACCATAATTGAACAGACATACCTACTAATGTAAATTGACAAAGTATTTATTACTTGGAAAATCCTCAGAATTTTCAGGGGATTTCTCTTTTACCTTGAAAAATCAGAGATTATTTAAGTTGCACACTAATTTCATGTCTTTATTTCAAAGGTGCATTAAAATATTTTTGAAAATTTTTAACAAAAATATTTAGAAAATCCAGGAATTTTTAAAGATTTCAAACATCCTGTTTAATTTTAATGTAACATACTTTTTTATCTTTTTCTAACGCTAAAAATTTGATAAAAATAAAGAATAAGTTAAACATTAAGGTACATTGTCAGGAATGAAAAAATTACGAATATCATAAACAAACAGAGAACATACGAATTAAATAAATTTTAAGAAACAAATAACGATATTTTGCTTTATCTATCTCTAATGTTTTCACGTAATGGTGTGTATAAAGATATTAATATATAACGACACTAATTGAACAAAACACTATTATCAGTGAAAATTTATTTAAATCAGAAATATTTAACTATACACATATATCGTTACGATACTGTCTAATTATACTTTTTTCTTTTCAAAACCGAATCGCAAAATATAACAAAACTTTGATTTAATAAAAATATTAAAACAATTTAAAAATAATTGTAAGATGCAAATAATATCATGGATGAAGAAGTGGATGAAGTGCTCAAAGAAAAAAAACGTATTGCTGTCAAACATAGCAATAAATAAATGTCATTTATTTTTACTACACTTTATGTATATGCACTCGTATTATGCGTCGTCTACACTTTGATACAATGGCTATAGATGTTTTTATTTTTTTAAATAAGCTGACTTTTATGCTGCGCTAAATGATGGATATAATTTAAACTGGAAAGTCCAGAATTCCGCGCGAGGAAAGATTAAGATTTTATTATAATAATTCTTATTATTACAATAAGATTTTAATATTATTTAAATGAACTACAAGATATACGTTCTGATGGAATGAGTCATTAAAGACTGTCAGCAGATGACGGCAATGATAGCAAACGGCAATGAAGGCAAATTAATTATTAAAGTTCAATAATATTTTTTCAATAGCAAGATAAAATATACAACACATTTTTCATGTTTACGCAATGTGTTTTTTATTGCAGTTTATAATAAAATTTATCAGGAAAGAAGAAAAGAATAAAATTATTGCACAAAATATCTCAAGATCAATACTAATTAAGATTATCAGCTGCCCTTTACTGATCAATTCCAATGTATAATAGCCATTAACTTCTTAACGTTTTGTCATAAACAAAATCTAAAATCTAAAATCTAAAACCTTCAATGTTATCCTGTAATATTAATGAGAAACAGCAATATTCATAAATTATTAATCAAATTTATGAATAATTAATTAATGAATATATAATTATAATTATTA